GTGGTCACTCACATCATTAGCAAATACTCCCACAGATGAGTATTTATATGGAACATTTGTTAAAATGAGATCAATTAAGGAGGATTTATTTGGGGACTTCATATTTGGGCGAGTAGGACTGTCTATAATCGGAGTAATGTTCAAAGAGGTACACAGTTTTTTAAAATCCTCTGACACAGAAGTTAACCAGTCCCAATTAAAATCACCAAGCAGTACTATTTCCTAGTAGGAAAGTTGAGATAACAGTTTTGCCAATGAAGATAAGGAGTCCTTGACAGCCGAGGGGGCCCTGTAGCAACTCACCACCATGACCTGTTGACCCTTTGTTACTTCGACATTCACAGCAAAAAATTCTAGTTGTTTACTAACAGATTTGGAAACCATATTTGTTACACAAAACTTATTTTTCACATAAATGGCAACGCCACCACCTTTTTTAGGACGGTCAGTGCGATATACATTGTAACCATTTATGTAAATGTCAGAGGCCAAGATGGATTTGTCTAGCCACGTTTCTGATAAGACAATGACATCAGCATCAGTTGAACTCGCCCAAATACGGACAAAATCTAATTTAGGTAACAGACTGCGCACATTTAAATGAATTAAACCTAACCCCGATCTAGAAATAAAATCAGCAGGAGTAGCTATTTGACTAAAACTACTAGGTGGACCCGGATTTGGCTGTACATTTCCTGATAGTAACAATAAAAATACCAAGCACCTTTTCCTCTTAATCAACACACATACATTGTCAGCTGTTCTAGAGTCACCAGCAAACTTCGCGAAAGTGAGATTAGAGTTCAAAAAACTATTCTGAAGGACCATTGTGGCAGGCATGTGAGAAAGACAGACATTTGACGAAATGAATGTCCGCGACAGTGCAACTAGCAATTGTTTGTGCAACCCATCCGAACCTGTACAGGGGATGTCCACTGCGTGCGGCAGAACAGACCCGAATCCAGCAGAATTTTCAGGATGACTAGCGGACCTCTCCTTGTCCAGCACAGTCAAAAAAAGGCACAGCAGAAACACGACATTTGCCATTTTCCCAGTCCAGCTCAACAGCATCCACGATGTTCCCGGAGCAAAACCACGTCAGGACAGCAGCAAGGAAGTAGGCAAGCAGCAGTGTGGCAACACTCCGGTTTCTCCGCGGTATCTCCAGACCAGGCCTCCCCCGCACAGTAGCACCCAACAGGTGGGAGTAGGCCTCTAACAGCAGGTGGATAGCGGCCTTCAGCTTGCGGCAGACCACGATTGATTATTGAAGAGTCATCACTTCCTAAGATCCTCAGCTTTGTGGGACCTCTTTACTGCTAATAAAGCTCGTTAGATACTAACCGTCTGGACTACTTCCCTGTACGAAGACACACCAAGCAACACCCTGATCTTACTGAAGACTGGTGCTCCATCAAGCTGTTTCACTTGTGAACTTAGGAAGCTTATCAAACCAACAGCTGTTGTTCCAAATACATTGGCTCAAAGACTCTTACTGTTAGGCAGAAATGTTGAAGAGCAGAGAGAGCATGGACCAGCAGCACAATGTGTTTGTTTTCACACAAATAAAGCGTGGGTGTTCCCCTCCTACACACAACTGATAGCAAGAGCACAGGAAGACTTCCATCCCTGAGAGCATCACTAACTTATTATTCAGACAAAAGATTATGTCAACACAAGTTGATGGCTTCATTCCCCAAGAGGTTTTATTTCATATATAATATAATTCATTTATAATGTTCTAATTTTTAACAAATCTGATGAGTAGAGCAAAAGGACAATGGTTCACTCTATTGTCTTATGGCTTTCCTACCCTGTGTTCCTTAGAGCAATGTTTTGGTGCCAGATAAGAGGCTGCCCCGCTGCCGTGGGAACAGGAAGAACTGGTTCCTAATCAGGCACTAGCTCCGAACCGGCCCTGGAACTGGTTCGGTGGGAAAGGGGTGTACACCAATGTCCTCAAACTGGCAATAAATCGTGAATTGAATTCTGATGCACAAAGTAATGGCTGGAGAATAATGACAGTAAGCATGTTATCAAAGTCTCTGTTGCGCAGTTATTTAGGAAACAAATGCAGTGTCCTGTGCTCTGAGAAAAACACAACAATAATCCAACAACTCTTTTAGGAAACACCAAGGTGGAAAGGTTATCTATACTGCTTTAAAATTATAAAAGAACCTTATCAAAACAAAAAGAAAACACAACACACTTTTGGGTGATTTAGTGTAAAAGCCAGTTGTTTAGGATGCAGAGATTCCAAAACCCACCCACCTGGGCTGCATAACTGTAAAATCCACCGTCTTAACCAAAGGAAAAGCTTGTGTGAGTTACATCGACATGAAGCATGAAGCTATGCTCAGGTCCTCCAACAGCCTCAGCCACTGACCTCCTTCTTCTGCATCTGAAAGCCTTTGCTCTCCAAAGCCAAAACCCTTGCCTTTTTTTTTCTCACTCTCGTTGACCGCTCATTTATTTCCTGCACTTACCTTGTTTGTAGCTGCCTGCATTTCCAGGCAAGAAGAGCACAGGGGCCCCGGTGAGCTTGAGCGCTCGGGTCTCCTGGGCGTACACACCCTCTCCGTACAGGTAGAGGCCGTACGCTGGGTACAGTCTGGCCACGCGGCGAGGCAGAGACACACGCTGCCAACACAACACACACACACAATCACACAGAGCAGGAGGGGAAGTCCCACAGAGCTAACTGTGGGCAATAACCTTTGTCAGCTACTGTACACACAGCAGACTAAACCTCCCTGCTTTGCTGGCCAGCTGCAGGGTCTAAACTCTGCTTTTACGTGAGTAGTAATGGAACATTTCAGGGTTAGCTGACCTTTTATGTGTACAAGAGATGTCCAGACTATTATTACCATAGTATAAAGAACAAAACAAGAATCTTGAAGATAATGTGTGCGAGAGCACAAGCAATAGTTTCAGAATGCTTTTTTTCCTAAATGATTTATGAGTCAAAATAAGTGATCTCAGATGGAGTTTTCACACTGATGTCAGAGCAATGTATGCTTTTCACCTCAGCATTAGCCTACTTATTCAAACAATATGTACAACATATGAATAGCTTTCTCTCTGCCCCGTGATCATCACAAGCAGCCAACAGATGTGTACATGTATTTACCTCTCTTAGAACAAAGCCTACAGTCCTGTGTGGAGTCAAGTTTATGATTATAGCTTAGTTTGTCCCAGCTGTGCTGCACATCTAGACAGATGAACACATTGGGCAAAAAGCATTAGAAAGAGAGCTCCATTGTATTACTAAAACGAACAGTAGCTGACTTGAAGCCTGTTTTAAGCTTAAAGGCTCAGAGTGTAGGATCAGCAACTGATTTATGCTTTTAGAACATAGCTAATTGTGGCTAATCCAAATACCCAACAAACTTCTAAGCAACCAGGCTGGTCTCTGCAACATGTAGCTTTCTATGTATATTGTTCACTTCTTCTGCATTACTAATCTTGCATTATTTTATTTCTAATCTGTTTCTTCTTACAGTATTTTTTATTTGTGTTATTGTTTTATGTCTAGGAGCCTGGGACTTAACATTTTCATTGCCATAACTACACTAGTTACTGTGCATGTGACAATGAATCTTGGAGTGTGTGTGTGTGTGTGTGTGTGTGTGTGTGTGTGTGTGTGTGTGTGTGTGTGTCCCATCGAGGAAATAGAAGGCATCACGGCACTACACCTGGCGTTTACTTGTTCTACTAGGTGACATTAGCATGGTTTAGGAAATAGCTTAAAGAAGCTCTACGTGAATCATTTTTATGCAAACACCATTTTCGCAGTATTGAAATGACAAAATTTAGCAAGCTAGGGTTTATTTAGCCTTGGCCAGGAATGAGGCACACTTTGCTACTAGCTAATGTAAGGGGAACGTCATGCTGGGAGTCGGGGGGATAATAATTGGCTGGCTACTCACCCGGTACTCCGGGTATTCAAACATGTAGGTCATGCTGCATCTGTTCTCCTCGAAGCCAGTCAGCAACTCTCGCAGGCCGACCGCCAGAAGCCCCAGAGCAAACCCGTAAAAGGCCACAGTGGCGAGTTTCATGGTTCAGTTGTGCCTCTGGGTTTCAGGTACTACAGGTGTTTCACCTCCATTTTTCATTTCCATTCTGTGGACTCCTCCTCGCCGTAACACCACAGGCTGTCAGACCCACCGCTCACCTCACAACAGGAACCACACACAACAGAAACGCTAGTGATTGGCAGGTTTTTCGGCCAATGGGAGGAGAGATCTGTGAAAATAGACCAATGGAAGAGCAGAGAGCGAGTGACACAATTACACATAAGGAATTGCTAAATTTAGCTGCTAAATTTATTTTCTTTCAGGCAATTTTCAGTTTCATTTTTACTTTTCTTTTAAGACGTATTTGTGGATTATATCATATTCATCTGTTTACAGTCCACATATTTATACAATAAGCAGTATTTTATTCCACTGTAGCCTACAGTATTTTATTTTATATTCTGTTTCATCTTACATATACACAGTATATTGCTTATTCCTGAATTTTAATTGCACCATTGAGTCACGTCCACTATTTGTTTTCACTTTTTACTGCATGTCTTAAGTATATCGTATGTTGCAGTGTTGTGACTAATTATTTTTGTATTTCTAACAACTATGCTCTATTTATTGTGCATTTGATAATCATTAATTTGAATCTTCTATGCTTTTACTACACCTTAGCTTCAAAAGATCAACATAAATAAAAAGTACCTATTAACTGTAATTCTTCAAACACAATTGCGACAACTGGTACTATGCTCTGTCTAGATTTATATAAGATTTCTTTTTATGCAAAACATGTTTAAAATTTGAGTGGAATAAATGGCACATTTTTCATTTCTCAAATCTTTAATAAAACAATCAAAGGTCTGCTGCAGCTTTGTATTCACAAGGTACATACAGTATATATACCTGTACATGTAGTACATGCATATATATGTATGAATCAGTTGACTGTAATGGGTTGTGTTGAAAAAAAGAAAGACAATGTTTTATGGAAACAAATCTTCAAAAATAGAAAACAAGATGAGAGTTTTCAAGAACAAGCCCCTCCATATGATAACATCATTTTACTCATTGTTTAAAAATAACATCTACATGAATCTGGCCACACTCTTAAATATACAAAACCAGACAAGTTCTGATGTTTGGGGGGGGGGGGGCGTTGCCATGTGTCTTCTCTACAGTGAAGAGTGTCTGACTCCACCCTTGTCCCGGTGCTTCCCTCTGACAGCCCTGTGAGGAGAAGCAGCATCATTTGCTCTGTGCGATTCAAAAGTAAAAAGGCAAATACTGAGGGGGTTAATGTCTTCAATCAGCAACACTGCGTCCAATCAAAAGCATCTTAATCCAAAAGCTTGGAGTGCTCTATCCTCGTAATAGTCCAGGCTGGAGCCACTCCTTTAGTGAACTCCCTTTGGAATCTGCCAGAAAGACAGAGCAGAAGTAAAAGTCACACAAGACAATTTCAACATTTCCATTTCCAAGTGGTTACACTCCGGGCAGGACTCACTCATAGTGTGCACTCAGGAGCCTCTTAGTTTCTGCTTCTCCCTCCTCACCGAGCGCCACCTGGAACACCCGCGTTCCCTCCATGGTGTCCTCAGGGAGACGCGCACTTGTCAGATACCAGAAACGCATCAGAATGCTGACAAATTTTCGCCCTGGAAAGAAAGAACGTACACCGATGATTAATGCATCATCTGGGCTTTTCCTTTTCCAATGGTTCAACATGTACACACGTGTACATACATGTCACCCTGATATGTATGTACATGAATGCTGAACAGATTGTTAGGCTAATTTGTGATTGGTGATATTGGGCAACTTAAATAACATTTATTGGTAAAAAAAAAGAAGGTGTTCCATACAAATGAATGCAGATCTTTACAGAATGTCTTTTTTTCACATTCAAAGCTTTTATTGAGATACATCATAAAATATCAATTTCACCCTAAAATAAGCCTTCTAGAATCTAGAATGAAGCAGACCATTTGCTCAGATGAAACATCTTGGGAACCTTTTTGTTTCAATAAATACTGAATTTGAACTCTGGAGTTACTGGTAAGGTTTGATTCAGCTTCAGACACAATGTAAAAAGAAATGTGAAAGAAAATAAAAATATATATATTAGAATGTTGATTTGAATTTAGAATTTAGAGAAGTCAAAGTTTTGAATACATCTTTTAACTATTCAATACAGCCCTAACAATTAATATATACAAAATCAGCAAAGACACCTGAACATTGCTTACATCTGCAATATAAGTCTGGCTTTTATCTGTATTTTTCTCTCCACAAATCCAATACAAAGAACGAAATCTACAATGTATCAGTCCGTCCCTTAATCCCATTAGACCTCCTGACACACCCTGAGGCCTTTCTGCTGAGGATTCATCTAGAAGGAGAAGACTCACCAATGTGCCAAAACAGCGGACATTTTTTGTATTTCCAGAAGCAGGACAGTGGCCCTTTCTCAATGTCGAGTAAACCTGCTGCAGAGCCACTATTTCAAGTATTCATTTCATTTCAAACCATTATTTATCCAGATTGTCCCTTGAGATCATAGATCTCTTTTTCAAGGGAGACCTGCAAGTTTGCTACGTCATCGAGTGGCGCCAAAGGACTGTTTAAATGCATGTTAAATGCCCAGCATTCAGCGCCACGCCACTCGATGACGTAGTATACTTGAAATAGTAGCTCTGCAGCATGTGTACTCGACATTGAGAAACGGCCTGTGTCTGCAAGATTCAATCTGAATAACCTACAGGAAGTGCGTTCATAGTAATGAAAGAACATGTCACCCAGAGCTCCTTGAAGAGATGGATTATTGGCACAGACAAAAATAAATTATCAGGTGTTTTCTTTAATAATAATAATAATAATAATAATAATAATAATAATAATAATAATGATTTGTAAAGCACCTTTCATTGCTAAAAGCAATCCCAAGGTGCTACAGGAGGCATTTTAAAAAGAAACTAATCAAAGGCTTTTTTTAAAAGAAAGGTTTTTAGGCCTTTACAGACAATACTTGTTTATAAAATAAATTAATTGTTGGTTTTCATGGGACTAATTGACAAGAAGAAGGAGCAGAAAGGTAGCACTCGGCCTTATCCTTTCAAAAGAGTGTGAGGAAGTAGACTTGCTGCTGACCGTCATCATCGTAGTAGATCCCCACGTCTCCGGGAGTGGTGTACATGATCTCCTCCGGCTCCACAGACAGAGCCTTCTTATAGTTGGATGGCATCAGGTTCAGCTTCTCCTCCAGCTTCCCAATCAGCTGCAGACACACAACGTTAGATAGGAATACTGCAAGCCTATCTTTCATTCAAGAAAATGTGTCTTGATTATGTTATAATATCTTTTTGTGTGATCAATTCATTTTCATTTTTTTTTTGTTATTCTTACTTACAACCACTCATAATAAACTGCATCTGAGCATTTCTGAAACTCTGAATGCGGTTCAAAGCAGGGCGGAAAGAAGAAAATGCCCTGGACCAGAGCCAGAAAAGGTTATGACAAATAAGTGATCAATGTTTGAGCTTCATGATCATATACAGGATCCTTACACCATGCACACTACCGTCACACAATCTAATGCAGAAGGGAAATAGATGCTGTAGCGAAAACATGAGAATCAATTAGAGAATGATATTAAACATTATAAATACCAGCATTACAACTCTTATTTAGATTCATGCAGAAAAGTGCACACAGTGCGTTGAAGCTTGCCGGTGGGCGTGTCTGAAACTCGACCAACAACCAATCACATGCATCTCCCGCCCCGTACACACAAGGAAGTGGTTTGATTGGCTAGAGCTTGTACTGGCATATGATTCGATTCGCTGACGCTTCCGTCGAAGCTTCAAAAGTAGAGCATTGCTGAACTTTTGAAGCGAGAAACGCGAAGCGACGGAACCACAATGCAGTTCGGCAAAGCGTGACGTCACCCCATTCAAAGTGAACGGGCAGAAGCGTTGAAGCTTCAATGTGGACGGGCCGTAAGAGTGCAGGCATGTTGTATACGAATGCATGTAGTACAGAAGAGTGCATCAGACTCAGACATTGAGTAAGGAGAGGATCAGAACGTTTGAGACTCACGTCTTTAGCCACCAGTCCTTCCAGAGCATCCAGCTGGCACTTGGACAGCAGTCTGGAAACATGTGAGAAGGCCTGCAAGAGTAAACAAAGACATTTAGGAAATCAAAAGATGCTGAAAAACAGATTCATGCCTTCGCTCTGTGATCATGTGCTCTGTGAGGCCTTGAGAAACAGCCGCAATCATCACACAGATTTATAATAAAACACACTACCGACAGATACCTGGGAAACCACTTTGATACATATTGTTATTGAAAAAGAAAGCTGAAAGGTCCCATTTCATGGCCATTTCTACTGATCATAATTCCACTGTTGAGGTCTACTAACATAGATGTACACTGTGCAATGTTCCAAACTCACATTGGTTTCTCATACAGCATCTCTGTATAGTATGTGTATTCACTCTCTGTCCTAAACGGCTTGTTGGAGCTCCTGCCCCCCTCCCTGTGAGCCCAGTGTGCTCTGATTGGTCACGACTTGAGAGGCTCGTTGCTGCGAGGAGCAGACAGGCTTCCGTCTCGACGATAAAGCTAGAACAAGCTAAACTCATCCTGAGCGATCACAAACACTCACAGACCGAAGTAAAAACAATAAGTGCGGCTTGATATTGAGTAAGAAAAATTTTTATAACGCTGTGAGCATGTGTCTGCAGAGAGCATTTCTCCGCCATCCCAACGTTTACCCATTTAAACAGTCGTGGTAGATACCTTGTTTGTTTTAAACATCATAAATACACAAACAACAATGAATACTTACAGGTTGTGTACCCGAATCTCCCGCTGGTCCAAACAAAGTAGGAACAGCATCGTCCTTCAGTGCCCTACGCTGTACATATCCGGCATGAAT